AGAGTTCAAGGAGCAACATGCTAGAAAATAAGGTGGGAGAAGCAGGCAGGAGTCAGCAAAGCAGGGCTCTGAAAGCTATGGTGAGGGTTCAGATTTTGCTCTATTATGGAAAGGTACTAGAGTTTTGAACAGAGGAATAATGACAATTAAGAATGATACATTTTTAGAGGCTCATTTGGCTGGTGAATGGAGAATAAACAGTAGGGTAGCAAGAATGAAAGCAGAGAACCAGTCAGGAGCTATGGTAAATAGTTTGGGGGAAAGACGACAATGGCCTCAACTACAGTGGCAGGTGCAGAAATGATGAGATTCAGGATAGAGTTTGAAGACCAAACCACAGGAATTAAGGCTGCAAGGTTTTTGGTCTGATAAACTGGGTGATTACTGAGGTGGGGAAGGAGTAGTTTGGGAGGTGGAGTATTGTAGTTCATAGTTCTTTTCTGGACATGCTAAGTGGGTGCTAACTGTTAGACGATGAAATAGAAATGTTAAGTAGGCAGTTGGATAACACAAGTCTGAAGCTGTGAAGAGACAAAGTGGGGATTCTGCCAGTTCCTGAGGATGTCTATTCAATTACACAGCCAGGAGCTGGAGAAATAATCACAGCGTGGGTCACAGCTGGCCCAAACTCCACCTGAATACCAGAATCCTGCCTTGTGACATGGACTGATCTGCAAAATTCAACCTACTCAAAGCCATCCTAGGTGTCCCCAAGAGCTGTCACATGTGATCGAATGGTTAGTGCCCCTGAAAGGATGCCTAGCCGAGGCAGCAGGTGAGGACTGATATCCTGACCACGTTCTACTTGCAGAGCTGTGGCAGAAACCACTGGACTAGTCTTTAAAATCCTGCTATGAAGATAAAATAGAAATTGATCAACTAAAAATTAAATCTCTTGAAAGCTTTGAAAACCCAATATAAACTGCTATTGACTCTACAGCTTTTGAAAACAGGAGTGGAAATGTGCGTGTTGCTCATTTGGCAGATGGGCCATTTGGCAAATTGTCTTCTGCAAAATGACCTTGAGCTGCGTTTCAGTATATCATTCACACGTCCCATCCTATCTTGGTGGGAGACTGACGTGGTAGAAAGGACACAGGGATGAGACCAGACAGACCCGAGTCCTAGCCAGCTCTGCCACATGTCACCTGAGTGATCACACCCCTGTCCTGACAATCAGATTTTAGTCTATACAATGAGGATAAGGATAATTCCTATCTGGTGGATCTGTTGTAAGAATCCTCACTAATGCACAAGGATGGCTTATTCAGTACCTGTGCACAGGTGAGACATGATAAATAGTTGGAAGAGCGTAAGAGCAGGAATGAGCCAACAGTATTTTCACCATATGCAAAGAACTACTCATGGAATTTTTCTCATTTCATCCCATATTAGCCATATTAGCCCTGAGCAGAGTACTATGCTCTTTTATATAAATGGACAAACTAGGGTGCAGAAAGGTTACATTATGTAAAAAGATGGAATGTTGTAAGTATGTGACCATGTCCACATTCAGACTCCAGAGAATATATGCTCCAGAGAGATGGTACCCATGGCCAAAAGTACAAAGTCCTACCCAACACTCATACTGGGTCCCTGGTGGCCCCAAAATCATGAACACAAAGTCGGATTTTAAAATATCTTGGGTCCTGTATAAATCACCGTATAAGAATTATTCCGTTTTCTGGCTTGCATGCCTTTGGTGAAGATGTCCTTCCTCTTTGAATGTTCTCTACCAATACCATTTTCTTCTTCTGAAAAAAATGGCAATGAATTTAGTGCCTACCATAAAGTGTTGCTGTATTGCCTGAGTTTCATATATACATTTTTTTGACATGACAATAATACAGCTGTTATTATTATTAACAAATACTACCTATTAAGGTGGCTATTCATTTTTTAACCTCAGCTCAAATATTTCTGCCTTTTCTAAGCCTTCCCTGACTCCATACTCATGTCCACCTCCAGGTTAAAATTAGTCTGCCCATTCATCTGTCAATGTACACTGGGGTTGTTCCCATCTCTTCACTATCATTAATGATGCTGCAATGAAAATGGGATATCTCTTTGAGACCCTGATATCAATTCTTTTATGAAAATGGGATATCTCTTTGAGACCCTGATATCAATTCTTTTAGCTACATACTCAGAAGTGGAATTGCTGGATCATGTGGTAATTTTGAGGAACCTCCATACTGTTTTCCACAACAGCTGTACCATTTTACATTCTAACCAACAGTACACAAGGTTTCTAACTTCTCCATAACCTCACCAACACTTGTTATCTTTTGCTTTTTTTGATAATAGCCATACACACAGATGTGAATTGATACCTATTGTCGTTTTGATTTGCCTTTCTCTGATGATTAGCAATATTGAACATCTTTTTATATACCTGCTGGCCATATACATACAATGAAATATTATTCAGTGTTTAAAAAGAAGGAAATCTTACCATTTGCAACAACATGGATGGACCTGGAAGAAATTATGCTAAGTGAAATAAATCATTCACAGAAAAACAAATACTGCACAACTTCTCTTACATAAGATATTTAAAATAGTCAAACATATGGAAGTAGACAATAGAATGGTGGTTACCAGAGGATGGGAAGGGAATGGGGTAGATGGAGAGTTGCTGTCCAATGGGCACAAAGTTACAATTACACAAGATGAGTAACTTCCAGAGATCTGCTCTACAACCCAGCCTCTAGTTAACAGTAAGGTATCGTGCCTTAAAAATTTGTTAAGAGGATAGATCTCATGTTAAGTGTTCTTACCATAAAAACAAACAGAGACAATAACAGCAACAACAACAGAAATCAAAGGGACACAAGGAAACTTTTGGAGGTGATGGTTAGCTTTATTGTCTTGATTGTGGTGATGGTAACATAAGTGCATACAGATGTCCAAATTCGCCAAATTATATAAATTTATTACATGCAGGTTTTTGTATACCCATTGTACATCAATAAAGCTAAAAGAAACTAATCTTACTTTTTCCTATGCTTTCCTAAGAGTTGGTTTATGGAACTTGCTTAGTGTCTTATCCTGCAGTTACTCTTGCATATGGATGCCTCTCCCCATCCTCCTGCCGACCAGGTTTGATCCATCCTCGAAAAGCACTGAGTGTGCATTGGTTAAACATGTTGAGATCACGTTTTCTTCCTTTTCCTTCTGCCAAGCCCTCACCCTCACCACATTGTCAAGACCCCCTGAAGAGATTATATTTCGTCGATGGCCAAGACTATTGCTCTCAGCAACAGGTGAATTGTACTAAACATATAGTAATATTAATTACTTCTAGCCGAGAGAACTTTACAATTTATAAGGTGCTTTCGCTCCCATTATCCATTTTGTCTTTCATTTTTTATTTTTGGCCAGATATTGTCCTCCTATACCCAGGTTGCAAGGGAGGAGGGGAGCTGCCATCCCTATTTTGTTGCTCTGAGATGATAATCAGACCTGCTGCACCTCAGTCCTGAACCAACTGAAATAGGTTCAGGACTATTGGAGTCAAATGGAGATCAAGGTACCAACATTACTGCCTGTAGAGCTGTTTGGTGAACACTGCTTGAACCAAATGTTAGAATGAAGCTTCTTGCATGCCGCCACCTGTCCTCCCACCAAGCATAGCCTTTGAGATCTGGCTGCAGAGTCTATGGAATAGATACTCAGCCAACTACATGGGGAAGGGCAATGGCTTTCACACAAAAGCATGACTTCTACGCAGTCAGAAGCTTTTTCATATCATTAAACAAAAGCAGAAAAGAATAAAGAAAGGAAAAAAGGAAGGAAGGAAGGGAGGAAGGAAGGAAGGAAGGAGTTTTCTTCCTTTAGGGTGGGGCGAGTAAGGGGTAAAGAGTTAGGTTAAAAGTGTTACTCAAATACTCTTTCTTCCTAACAAATGAAGCGGAACCCCCTTAGTGAACCATGAGCCCTAAGAAACAGGTTCTTCAAAAATATGTCCTCAGGAGCCTCTCAGTTTAATGGGAATTATGTATGCCTTTTGCATGAGAAAAACATGTAAATAGTTTGATGAGTTCTGTACTCAAGGTTGATGAGAAATGGAAAGTTGGAGAAAAAGTACTAACTTGCTTTAGAAGTGATCAGGAAAATGTATTTGAGTCTATTTGATGTTCATTCTCATATTTACTGAGCACTTAAGATGTGCAGGTATTAGAGGTCATTGAGTTCTCATGACAACCTTATGAGATTGGTAGTATTATTAAATATTATTTCTATCTGACAGGTGAAATAACAAGCAGAGAGGATAAGTGACTTAGCCAAAGTCACAGTGGGTCTCAGGATACTGAAATCTACTTCAGGTTTTACCACTTATTAGTTCTATGACTTTAAGCAAGTCACTTAGCCCTTTGAGCCTCAGTTTCCTCTTTTGCAAAGTGGTAAATATGATCCCAGACCTGCATGACTTCTGGGTGATCCATATCCTACCTACTCTAAAAGGTTGTCATGGAGATTAAAAGGGATAACGCACATGAAAGTGTTTTTTTTTGTTTTTTTGTTTTTTTGTTTTTTTGTTTTTATTTAATTTTATCTTTATTTTTTTTAAAATGGACACACAGTAATTATACATGTTTATGGAGTACAGTGAGATATTTTAATACACTTATGCATTGTGTAACGATCACATCAGTATTTAGCATTTCCATCATCTTAAAGATTCTTCTCCATGCATCCAGAGCCCTGTAGAGCCGGCTGACCTGCTAAATCCATTCGCTTTCCTGGAAAGGGACCCAAGAGTGGGTTTGGTTCAGCCCTGGTGTTTTTGGAAATAAAAAGCCCAAATCAATGTAAGGGATTAAAACCATTACTGCACAGCCCATTGCAGATTGGTGGCAAACACTGCTAGCTCCTGCCCCATATCCACTGCAAGGGCCAAGGGAAAGCTTCCCCTCACCCTCTGAAAGTTCACGGAAAATGAACTCACAATAGACAGATGAATAGGAGAAAATGGCATATAAAATTTAGTTAATGTGCACAGCGTTGGGGAACTGCAGGAGGAGGGTGACCCAATGTCACAATGGAATATGCTTGCTTATAAACCCTTTTACCTAGGGGAAGCCTTGGTGAGGGCTGTAGGAGCACATGATTTTTAGGGGAAATGAATGAGCCAAAAGAACAATGGCCTGAGAGGAGACAAAGTGCCCGCAGAAGAACAGAGGAAGAGCCTGTCTGGACATGGAGAGGACTCCCAGTCTTTTCTCTTCTCTAGTGGTGAATCTTTCCTGGTCATTTGATGAGATTCCTAGGGAGGGGGTCTTGCATTGCTTTTGGAAGGAGATTTCTCAGTCAGGTAAGGAATTTCTAGAGAGAATACAGGGAGGCAGGGGAACGTCAGAGAGACCTTGTAGTTGCTTCTGTAGTTCAGCATGTCAAAGTGCCATATTTGGGGGGCATTGTTTTCTGAGCATCATGATTGCATTAACAGAACTCTGATTCTGTTTCGGAAGGCCACGTACTTAATTAGAAATTCTCGCGTCCCAGATTCTCATACATCTGTAGCCATGTGACCATTTTCACCCAACTAGATGTAAGCAAAAGCATATCTCGTGGAGTTTCCAGAAAAGCTATTGTTTCTCTGATAGAAAGAGACATGCCACGTTGCTTTTATTCTTCACCCTTCTTCCCGCCTGGAGTGCAGACTTGATGCTTAGTGATCAGACAGCCAGCATGCAACCATGAAGACAAAAGCCATAAAGTTTAGAGTGTCAGAGCAGGAAGCTGGAAGGAGCCTGGAGCCTTGACTGTTTGCTTGAGCAGTGGCACTAGCTCAAGATCATCTGCCTGAGATTTGTTCACTAAAAAAAAATAAAATAAAACCTTGATTTAGTTAAGCCACTGTGGTCAGATTTCCATCACAGTGGGTGTTAATCAGAGCAACAAGAGAAGTGTTGCAAAGACTTCTCAGGCTCTTGGCTACAATTCTTTACCCTCGGAGTCATTAAAGAATACGGGACAGTATAGCACAGTAGGAAGAGACAGATACCATTTAAGTAACTTACAGACCTGGAGAAGCCCAGATGTAGATTCTCTAACTGCTCTTTCCAAGCTGTGTAATCCTAAACAGGATCTTAACTGCCAGAGGGCAACAGGAATAGCCACGTGATGATGAGTTCGGAATGGAAAGGGCATGGTGCATCTTAAGCACCCCGTAAATGCTGATAGTGCTCTTGAAACGGGGGGCAGGGGAGAGCCTACCAACAGTCCAGGGTTCTGACCCAGGGGGTCATCAATCTTTAATTAAACATGTGCTTTCTAGCTGTGTGGCCAAACCCTGTTTGGATGGAGTTCTATAGAACAGTGAGAACTGCCTAATAAGCTAACAGGCCAGCACTTTAGCACCCAAATTAGCACCCACCTACGTCAGAGGCAGCATGACACAGGATTAGCAGTTCTGGTTTTGGAGCCAGACCCCTCTGGGTTCAAATCCTGGCTGTACCACTTTCTGCTTATATTTACATGGCCCGGCATGGACCACTTCATCTCAACAAGGCTCAATTTCCTCCTCATCTGGTCCGCTAGCCTCACAAGCTTGTCCAGAGGCTGCAGTGTGGGAGCAAAGGGGAGCGTGCCCAACCTGCACAGACGCACGACGGCTGCTGCTTGCATCCTCCACTCTGCCAGGCAGTTGTACGCCCAGTGCTGGCAGGAGTGGGGGAGGAGAGGGCAGGGGAGGAAAGGAGCTGGTTAAGGCTATAAATTGAATTCTAAAGATACAGAATCACTGATCTGCAAAGAGCCATGGAGGAGGTTGTTTAGGTCAACACCAGCCTTGAAGCAGACCTGATCACTGAGCTCGTGAGGTGGTCGCTGCCTGCTGGGCAGCAACCCTCGGGAGAACTGGGGGCAGGTGCCAGAAGAGGGGTTCAAAGTCCTGTGTAGCTCCCTGGCTCTTCTCCATGGAAGCCATCTCCCTGAGGGCACCAGCAGGGCTGAAAATATACTCTGCCTCCAACACAGCTCGATATATTCTGGGCTGAGGCAGGGCTGGGGGGAGGGAGTGCCGAGCTGAGCACTGTCTGTTGGTAATAAAAAGCTTCCAGAATGCACACAGTTCCTGGTGAGGAAGCTGGGGAGGGCATCTGCCAGGTGGGGGACACAGACACATACGTGCCCCACCCCACCCCCAGCCCAGCTGGCCGCTGCCCTCTTCTGTGAGCCTCCAGCTGCCCCCTGCTAGCCAAGGCCTCTCAGGGGACTTATTACCAGGATCAAGTCCATCCTGTTCAGAGGGTTTCGCTTGAGTTTAAATATAGAAGCTCTAGAAGGGAGGGGGAGGCAGAGCAAAGAAGCCAAGACCTGCTCCATGCAGCAGCAGCTGCGGCTGTGGACCTGCACGTGCACAGCTGGGTGTGACCAGCGCTGGCAAGAGGGCGGCACGGACAGAGCACGGTGCTGGAGTCAGGGGCCCTGGGAGCAGGTCTTACGACTTCCTGTCTCTGAGAATGAGCGAGTCATATAACGGCACTGATCTCCCTGTCCTCGAGCTTTCCGTGAAGTGATAATAAAAGAACAATAATAACAGCTAACATTTGTAATAGCTGTAGCTAACACTGATTAGGTAATATGAGCCAGGCCATGTACTAAGCCTTTTATGTGCAATGTCTCATCCCATCCTCCCAGTATCCCTAGGAGGTAGGCATCCTACTGTGCCTGTTTACAGATGAGGAAACTTCACATAGAGGTGAAGTCGGAGGCCCAGGGCACACAGACAGTGAGAGCAATGCAGCACGAACGGAAGGCGTCTGCCCTGCAGTGGGATCCGCTCAGCGGCAGCTCGACCAGTGCAGGGCGCCTACCTTAGTAGAGCAGTTCTTACTTCCCTCCCTTCCTTTTTCCCACATGCCATAATGACACATTCGTCATCTCAAAATTCTCCTGGGAGGTAGGCAATATCAGTCCCACTGTACAGATGAATATGTCAGCCAGGAAAACAGATCCACTATAGTATTTCAAACAGAGGAAAGGTATTCGGAGGCCTCATTGTACAAGTGATGGAAGAGCAGAAGTGGTAACCCAAGGCGGTAAAAGCGGGAAACTGCCACCATTTCCAAGCCTTGTGGCTGGGGCAAGAGCCATGGAGAGAGCTACCAGCCAGCAGTGGCCCCTGGGAAAGAGGCTGTTCAGAGTCAAGGCCATGGAGAAGACTCAGTGGGACTGCAGACTAGCCGAAAGCATTATATATTATGAAATTACTAAAAAGAATAGATTTCAAATGTTTTCGCCACAAAAAAATAAGCATATAAGGTGATGAATTTGTTCATTAGCTTGAATTAATCACTCAACAATGTAAACATATATCAAAACATTGCATTGTGCCCTATAATTATATATAATTATTTGTCAATTAAAAATAAAATTAAAAAAAATAAAATATGAAAAGAATACTTGCAACTCATTAATAAGAATGCAACAAACCTGACAAATATGGACAAAAGATTTGAATGTACACTTGACCAAAGAAAAGATGCTCAACATCATTAGTCATTAGAGAAATGCAAATTAAAACCATAATCAGATACTATTGCAGCCCAGAATAGTTAAAAATAAGAATACTGATAGTACCAAGTGTTGGCAGAGATATGGAACAATTGAAATGCCTACGCATTGCTAGTGCTAATCCAGAGTGGTACAGCATGTTGGAAAGTATTTGTCAGTTTCTTTTAAACATATACTTACCATCTGATCTAGCAATCCTAGTCCTGAGTATTTTACTAAGGAGAAATGTAAGCATATAGAAATAAAACAAGACCTATACATGAATGTTCATAGCAGCTGTATTCACAATAGCTAAGAAGTGGAAACATCCAAATGCCCATTATCTGATGAGTGCTTAAATAAATTCCAGTGTAGCTATACAATGGTAAGGAATGGCCTTTTAATTAAATGATGTTAGAACAACTGGATAACCTTTTTAATGCAATAAAAAGGAAGGAACTGCTGATACATATAACAACATTGATGAATCACAAAAACATTATGCTAAGTGAAAGCAACCAGACACAAAATGATTCTAAGTATATGAATTTCTCTAATAGGTAAAACTATAGCAGCTGAAATCAGATCAATGATTGCCTGGGGCTGGCAATGGTAGGGAATTGACTGCAAAAGAGCATCAGGTTGCTTTTGGGGGAAAATGGAAGTGTTCTATATGTTGATTGGGGTGGTGATCACGTTACTGTACATACTGTCAAAACTCATTGAATTGTATATAAAATTGGTGCATTTTATTGCATATAAATCACATATCATAAAGCTGAAAGTCCAAAGAAATGTACAGGATACAGAGGAAGCAAAATAAAAAGGCAAACTTTATTCAGAATGAAGGAGTCACAGAATGCCCCTGTCAGTCTAGCTGAATCTTAAAGAATAAGTAGGCACATGTCTTGTTCTTCAAAAGTGAGAGGCCTTATTTGCCTCTGTTGGCTGAGGGTTGTAAATGGATCCCATCATCGGATTGCTTTTAGGAGGGTGGGGAGGGTTTGATGAGTGCCATTCCTAAGACTAAAATGGAGAATGGGGTTCCATGTGGCTTGCACTTACCCACCCATAAGGGTAGAAATAACAACTAAGGATAATGTTTGAGGAACTTTAAGAGATCACAGAACTCTAGTTTCTTCTGTCCAGTCTCTCTGCCACAGGAACATATTATCCTACTTTGGGCAAGTCACTTCCTGTCTTTGGACTCAGCTTGCTCGTCTATAAAATGGGAGAAGAATGAGTAGACTCAATGATTTCTTCCTTCTTTAACTTTCCGTGATACTGCTGTATGTGCACACTTCTGCTGGTTTGGTTATATCTAGGAGGTCGTGTTCTGAATTCCTGCCCGTGTGACTCACTGCCTTTTCTCTCCATCCTCACGGCCTCAGAGGGCCACATGCAGGGACAGGGAGGAAAAAGGCAGAGAAAGAAAGACAGTCCTGGCCAGAGTCTATCCTGTAGCTCAGGTCTTGGGAAGTCTAGGGCAAAAAGGAGAACCAGCCAGGCACGATAGGTCTAGAGGCAGGTAAGTCCCTTTATTTGACAAACACATATACAGCACCTACTGTGCATGATACCACATGCACTCATTAAGCACCTCCTGTGAGCTTAGTGCTGGGATTCATCAGTGAAAAAGGCAGATGTGATCATCCTGTGGTCTGAGTGGGGGAGGTGCTGGTCAAATTTGTTATTCAAAAACAAAGCCAGCTGCCGTGCCTGCAATGGATGTTAGCTGCTAGCCTCCCTCATGTACACGCAAGGAAATTGGGCTTGGAAAGATTAAGAGTGTGGCTCCAGCTAGAGACCCTGATTTTTAGCCAACCCCACAACCTGTGCTGGCTGCAATCTATACTTGGTTGGTCACAGTGTCTCTTTCTATTCATGATATTCTGGAAGTATTCCCAAGGGGGAGGAGGGCAGGCATGGGAGGGGGAGAGGCAATGGAAATGAGGTGCCCCCAGGTCAGGATGTGCTGGGCTCGCACTTCACGTCCCTGCGCTGTGATACACTCTGTTTGAGGCTGGTCAAGGGGCCAGCCATTCCCAGGGGCCGGTCAGAGGGAACTGCTGCTGCCACTGCCCAACAAAGATGTCGGGTTGCATCTTGTTCCTATCGATTACCCACCAAAGTGTCTCTCATTGTTAGGCATTCCCCAGGGGCAGGCAGGAGAAAAGGAGTTCTTTCTCCCTTTTTTTGTGTTTAATGACATCCAATCCTACCCAGTGATCTCTGCCCTCTTCCTAGAGGCGGGAGACAGGGAGGGAGGAGGGAAAGGAGAGAAAGAAACGTAGAGGTAGTGGGGGGGGGCAGACAAAAA